ATAAAAGTGGTTTGTAATCACTCCTAAGGGAATAAAAGTGGCAGCCATGTTGGATGATTTTTGGCCAATATTCCAATTGTTATTTCAAATACGCAAAGATTTTCTCTTCACTCTTAGGATCCATGCTTAGTATCAGTACAGTTGACGTCATTGTGGATGACATTAGCCCACTTTGCAACAGTAAGAATGCCGCAAACCAAGGAACGGCTAGCCTGGACCTAACAGCCCTTGAAATCGAAGCGGCAAATCGCCACGAAAGAAAACGATTGGAAAGAAGTAACAAACCGCGTCAATGCGACTTCGAAGAGTTCTTAAATAATCGTCAAGACAGCCAGCATTTCACAGGTTCTTCTATAGATGGTCTTAAACATAGAAATGGTTGCAAGTCGGCAAATCAAAAAACACGAAGAAATGCTATGCATTTTCGTACAAGGTAAGGAATCTAAGGATTGATTATTGAACGTACTTAATCTACTTCGACGATACGGAGGCCTTCTTGCAAAACAAAGCAAATTAAAGATGACACAAAAGGTGTCTCTGTTTTATCGGTAAAGGTGATCGATGTACCGTTTTAATTCTTTTGCTGTTGTTGTTGTTGTTATATTCTCTTTTGGTGAGCTGTTAATATGAATCGAGGTCATTACTATAACGAAGCTTTATTTGCCCCCTGGACGCTCCATAATGTCTTGCGATCCAAGATGGCCATCGTATCGTCGAAGTAGACCATTGAACTGTATAAATGGCCAAAAGGCACTTCTCAAGCTAACCGCCATTTCCGCCAGAAATGGAAAGAGCACCTCGATGATAGCAAGGTTATCTCAAGGTCATTGGTCATCTCGAGGTTGAGCAAAAAACTGGGTCGAGTTGGCATTGAAGTGCATTGTCGGAGTGTTATTGGGATAGAAATAGACACCATCTTGGAAATATGTCGAACCTCTAAAACAGTCCTAAGCAATGCACATCAATGCCAACTCAACCTAGATCTTTCCCTTAATTTCGGAATGGTTAATAAGAAAGTTGGCAAGAATTTTGTAAGAATTTGTATGATAAAAATGCATTGGCTGTCGAGCTCTAGAAGCAGACACCTCGCTTCCTTGCCAAATATCGAGGTCCACTGTTCTTTTCATTTCCGAGGATCATTTTCACACAACTGCCTGTTTAAGGGGTTGGGGTAAGGTCACATGATCTGTACGTTCAAATGGTTAAGTGCAAATGGAGTATAAAGCATTTTTAACAGGTTTTTTCACCATCAATAGCAATGAAGAGGACAATGACAATGATTCAAATGCTGTCCAAAATAGCTCGGATCTGTACCGAGAGAGACGAGCAGCGACGTGTGACACTGTGGACAAAACACAAGCAAGAAGAACGAGACAAAGGGTGATGAGAAAACGATTGACATTTAGAGAAATCGACTGCCAGTCTGTCTAGAGATATAACATCAAATTTCATACGATAGAACTTGTAAATAAACCTGAAGCGAGATGACGTTTGACCCCCGACTCTATACCATAATAGTTTTTAAAATTCGTTTATATTAAATTTTTTGATTCCTTAGAGAATACAGGAATAATAGTCATAATTAAAGAACAAAAGCAGTATGAAAAGGATTATGGTCTATGATTATCTCGCTTCAGGCTTATTGGATTCTCAATAACGCGTGACGCGTATTACCGGGTCACAAATCCTAAAAGAGGGGGTGGGGGAGTACTTCCATATATAACTCAGTAATTACTGTGAATATTTACCTCGCGCGCCGCTCAAAGACTTGCGTCTCGGCAAACATTCACCGATAATCACTTCGACTTCGGCGAATAATTGTTAATTGTAGATAATTTTATAAATTTAAGATCTATGGATAGCAATATTTACGACTAGGTTGTTTTTAGCATTCCTGCGCTTTCATACTTCCATTGATTTCCAAGAGGAAATGTCCTCGGGGCCAAAACAATAGACCGTCTTTTCTTATTCAAAACAATGTCATTGTTTCGTTTCGAGAACAATTCCACTCGGGTCTCAGTGCAAGGGGCTATATGCGACACTGGTGAAAAACGCACTGCGCATGCGTTGGGAGAAAAAACAAAATGGCGGACAATAACAATTGATCACATCCGAAAGTTAGATTTTATTTTAACCGACAGGGCTATTTTTTGAATATTCGTTTTGGAATTTTACAGATATTTTTGAATTTCTTTACATAGAATCCGACCTTGTGATTATCTGCAAATTAACCATGCTGGATGTTGACGTCGGGCCGCGAGTGGCGGAATTATTTTTGCTTTGTATAGACAAAAGATTTTTTGTATAAATCAGCAGTGAGTTTCAATCGAAATTATCTTGCTATTGCGAAAAGGACAACCTTAAGTTTTCATTATTTTTCTTAAGTTTTGCGATTTTGTAAAACAATCAAAACACCGGCATCAAAAATACAAGTTGCCGTTAGTTACGCTACGCCATCTCCGAGCGTGCRCAGTGCGTTTTTCACCAGTGTCGCTATATGCTACAAAACTGAGACCTAATTAACTAATGACCAAGCAATTAATTGATTAATTAAAATTGGAAATAACCAATTACTGCCAGATAATTAACAAGTAATCAAGATTAGGGTGGCGTAGGGAGACGAGTAAACAACCGTCTTCAGGCTTCTTCATATTCTTTCTAACTTTCTAGATTTCTAAATTGTTTTTGTTGAGTACCTGTAGTTTCGGCTGGAATTTTTTACGGTCACCAAAATGTTTGGATTGTCATTGTATTGGAGAGTTGGGGGGTGGGGGATGGGGGATGGGGAGTACAAAATACAAAAATTTGCAATTTCATTTGGGCCCCTGAAACTCCGAACAAAAAAACGTCCCCCTGGCCACGCCCTTGGAACGCGTTTAAAATATTGAACAAAACGGAAAACACCAGAATAATTTTTTTTTACAAATTCTGTCTTTTTCATTTACAAAATATACTTTTTTACATATTAATAGGCATATATATTATTTACTAACGGAGACAAATAGTTCGCAAAAATAGCATCAAAAGTCCAAATTGGCATTGCGTATTGAAAATTTATGCTTGGAAAAGTGTTTTATCGTTTGAAAATATCTTTAAATAAAATAAGTGGAAACTATCTCTGATTTTAGATTATTGGATTCTTTGAAGTTTGAAAAAGCGAATTGTCTATATTTCCATGGAGTATTTTACTAAAGGCAACCCATCGCTCATATTCAGTCAAACGTGGCTATACATCTAGCTATTCCTGAAACGTTGTCGGTCCCAGATGTGAAATGAACGGTATGAGACTAAGGCCCCGTCCACACTATGCCGGATAAATTTGAATCCGCAACTTTCACACCGAAACCGAAAAAAAAGTTTTCCGTCCACACCTGAAAACGGATAAAATATTTCGAGTCCACACTAGTCCGATCAGAGGCTGCAAAAACGCTTCATTGCACAACTGAGTATGTGCATCGAAGCTGAAATTGAGCCCGCGGTGAATTTTTAGCCTTCCCGCCATGTTCCCATGACAATCATGACGTCATCGTATTCGAAAAATTTCGGATACGAAATGTTCTCCGTCCATACTAATACGGCTAGCCGGCGTTTTCTAATTGTTCTACTCTGGAGACCGTATTCGAAAAAAATCGTTTTCAGTGAAGAATTGTTCCGGATTCGCCCGGACTAGTGTGGACGGTAGGCCTAACCGAATGAATAAAAATTCGGATTCAAACGGGAGTTAATACGGAAAAATCAAATTTCTAACTAGATGGTCATAACTAGATGGTCATGCTTGACATTCCAATCTAAAAGAAAACTACGTTGTTCGACTGTGAAGATATTACATTTTGCAGCGTGCTACTCGGTCTTAGATTGCAGACCTCCGACCGACAACTTTTTTTGAAATAGTTATATTCTCTACTTTCACATCCCCATAATGCCTTGCGTCTTTGGGGGGTAACCAATCAAAAAACTGTCCCAAATTGAAAGGTTTCTTAATTGAATTTATACTATACCTGCTTTTATCTGTACAATACTGATTATCAGTTTATTCCAAGTTATTTTTGCGTGTACAGATCATGAAGTGTTTTGGTCTTACAGAAAATGTATTGACTTACGAAAAAATGTTTGAAATTTACCTTAAACGTCTTCAAGCTTCTATCTTTTTCTGTTTTTTACTTCTTCATTTTATTTTTGGATATCAAACAAGTTATTGTCAATATTGTCTGATTAGCCTTCAGCAAAATAAGTGGGTTTTTACCCTCTGGTTATCCCCCAAAGACGAAAAGTATTATGGGGATGTGAAAGTAGAGAATGCTTATTTCAAGTTATGTGTATGAGAATATATATGAAATATATATTTGTACTGCGGTTGTAATGTATCAAATTGAGCTGATCCTCGCAGTATATCAAGTAACTTATGCAGCTGCAAATTGAAAGCTTCAGAAAAAATTCCGAGYCTTTATTTCAAGTTAGTCACCTGAAAAGCCCCAAAGCCGAGTTCGTCAAGGATTGTGGTAAATTTACTTTATCGGTTATTTGTACCACCTTCTGTGAGCAACCTCAAGCTACAGTTTCTATCAAAAGCTTTACTTGTTGAATACGAAATGTCCCAGGATCCTTAGCAGTCTGAGCGTCGAGTGTTTTAGGTTGACTAACTTTGTTGAAATAAGTTTACAACAAATAGACCCGTTTCGAATTCCAAATTACCGCTGTGTTTCTTGATTACAGACTCATTTGCACAGGGTTAGCCTCGAGTTTGTGCACAATATTCACGTGTTCCAGTGAAGGTCCGTCGAGTTTCAAAGTGTTTGTATTGTTGAAGTTGTGCATTCTTTACTTTACCGTTGGTATTTGTGAACATTTAAACACTGATACGAGGCTAACCATGTGCAAATGAGTCTGTAATCAAGGAACACAGCGGTAATTTGCAATTCGAAACTGGTCTATTTGAAAAAACGTTGTTGGGACCGAAGGGTGTTCCGGGTACACAGTAAATGAGGCTAATATCACGCATATTGCAGCTCTCGAACATCGATTCATCTTATCAAACAAAGCATTTTGTCACACTTCATCACACTCTCCCAATGCCTATTATTTTGAACTTCACGACGATTTTACAATCGAGTATTTACACCGAGTATAAATTTAGGATAAAGAGTGGATATTACCACAGGGAACCCAGCTATCACCTGAAGGGATCCCATCGATCAGACTCAATTCATTAAAACGTGGCTATATACAAAGAGATTGAATGGATATCACCACAGGGAACCTAACTACCACTAGAAGATTACTATATACAGCGACCATTAATACTTTAAATTTGTGTACTCTTGGTTAGGAGAGTTCACCACAGGGAGCCCATCGACTACATTAGAATATTCCTATAAAGTGATTACCACAGGGTACCCATCGTTTTTCTTAGAAAAACCTTGTAGACTAATTACCACAGGCAGCCCATCGACTTCATTAGAATATTCCTATAAAGTGATCACCACAGGGTACCCATCGTTTTTCTTAGAAAATCCTTGTAGACTGATCAGCACAGGCAGCCCATTGACTTCATTAGAATATTCCTATAAAGTGATCACCACAGGGAACCCATCGTTTTTCTTAGAAAAACCTTGTAGACTTATCAGCACAGGCAGCCCATCCACTACACTAGAATATTCCTATAAAGTGATCACCACAGGGAACCCATCGTTTTTCTTAGAAAATCCTTGTAGACTGATCACCGCAGGCAGCTCATAGACTAGATTACAATATTCCTTGTAGACTGATCACCACAGGCAGCCCAATGACTACATTACAATATTCCACTGGGAACCCATCGATTTTCTTCGAATCACCCCACAAAGTGTAGATCACCACAGGAAGCCCAAGGATTACCTTGAAATATTCAGGACATTTCAGACTTGCGTGATTTTAGTAGGCGGGGATCGACCACAGGTAATCCACCAATCCCACTCTGTAAAGACTGACGAGACTAGTGGAAAACCAAGGTTAAGGTTTTTTGTCAATCTCTCTGGTTTACCATTGAAGTCGTAGAATAACTGTAGATTTGCTAGAAGTTGATCCTGTTAAAACGAACCAAGACTTATCAAGATGCCCGAACACCTCTACATTACGGACACTTCTATATTACGGACACTTCTATATTACGGACACTTCTACTGATGGTTTTCACGGCGGCCACGTTGGAGGAACTTAACAAAAGAATTGTCAATGAATTCTTTTGTTATATCCTCCAACATGGCCGCCGTGTCTTTTGTTATTAAATTCTCTAGGGGATGGTTGAAAACCATCAACATTACGGACACCTCTATATTACGGGCATCTCTATGTTATGGACACTTCTATATTACGAACGCCTCTATATTACGGACACCTCTATATTACGGACATCTCTATATTACGGACATCTCTATATTACGGACACCTCTATATTACGGACATCTCTATATTACGAACACCTCTATATTACGAACACCTCTATATTACGGACACCTCTATATTACGGACATCTCTATATTACGGACATCTCTATATTACGGACACCTCTATATTACGGACACCTCTATATTACGAACACCTCTATATTACGAACACCTCTATATTACGGACACCTCTATATTGTGGACACCTCTATATTACGGACACCTCTATATTACGAGCACCTCTATATTACGGACACCTCTATATTACG